AAATATATATATATATATTATATCTCTGATAAATAATATCACCATTCATTAGACAGAATTTTTGGGCTCGAGTCCTGACCAAACCCCAGCCCTGAAAAGATCCCATTTGGGCCTTACTGTTTTAGCAAAAATATAATTTTGGCCAGGTCTGAATGAAAACATCCGATCAAGCAATCATGTATGTATATAATAATTTACATTTTAATTTATTGAATATAATTATACGAATTTTCTTTAAGTCCCTTCTCACATAAATTTAATTCATTGGACTTCCTCAACTCTTTCTCTGTGTATTTCATTTTTATGTAAAAAAATCTTTATTTATTTTTGTTTTTGAAAATTTTCTAATTAGGCCTTCTTCCATCTCATTTTTATTAAGTCCTGGTCCATGCTACCCATATTTTTGTCTTTTTTATAATAAAGCCAAACACAATGAGCCCTTCCATGCCCCTTCATTTTCCTTAATCATTGCATATAAGTTCTGTGATTGACGAGTTGGACCTCTAAAATTCTCATTGGAATGCAATGTTTATTGTTTATTTGTTGAGTTTCAAAAATGTAATATTTGCTTGCCTTATTACAATGTACTAATTTAAGTTTAATACATTAAACTCTGCAGTGTCAAAAGGGAAGAAACGGAAAAATGATGCAGTTGCTGAGGTTTGGTTTATGTTGTAGTTTAATTATATTGCTATTTGCTGGCAAGTTCTTTTATTCTTAAATCCTGAAAGATTTATAATGTGCATTGAAATTTCTTCATATCATGAATTAATTGGTTTGCTTGCTTGTTTTAATTTCATATATTTTCATATGATAAAGTCAATGTCATAATAAATATCATCAGGTGTTTTAAAGGAGCAAGGCTGAAACAGTAATATAATAAGATGTAGATATTCAGATGTTTCAATCTTTCTTCTTTTTCCTTAAAACTGAAATAACTTAGAGTTTGTTTGATATTATTTGATTGGAATTTGTCATTTCTGTCACTAGTCTTTTAATCTAAAATATTCTGCTAAGTGTTGTATTCTAAATTTGAATTGTTAGAAGGGCAGTGGGACTGTGGAAAAGCTTGTCAAGATTCAAATTCCTGCAACATTAAAGAAACAACTTGTTGACGATTGGGACTCTGTTACACAGCAGGATAAGGTACGTGGAAAACTATTAAATTCACTCTCTGTGGTTGTTGTCCACTCATATGCTAAAAAATGCACATTGGTAGAGTTAGATTTTATGCATGTTTTTGGTAAAGGTTACCATAGGCCCCTAAAAGAGATAACCTTGAGTCAAGTCATTCCCTTTCACTTGAAATTAAATATTATTGTGCATTCGTGCTATTGTACAATTTAACATGTCAGTGTCACTAATTTGAAGCTATCTGATTGTGTTGGGAATTACGCAAGGGAAAATTATTTAGAGGGACACTTAGAGTTAGTTGGTTAGTTAGAGGGATCAGCTAGATAAAATAAGGGGAGTTAAGGGGAAAATGATGCATTTTGTCTTTGTATCATTTAAGAGAAAGCAATGGTTCTGTTATTAATGGAGGTCCTTTACCAAGGGGAAACACTTGGAAGAGGAGAGAACATTTTTCTGTTAATCTAATTTTGTAGCAATAAAATCAGTCTGTAATATACCATACCATATTACCATGAGTTCTAAATTTTTTGTCTTAAGAACTTGTTGATAATACACAACATTAGTATAACTGAAGGAGGTTTTGGCTGAACTTTAGAGGATAAAGTGTAGAGTAATAACTATTGATCTGGAAATTAACTATTGAGATTTAACTGAGTTGGGTGACAATGATCTTACAGAAACTAGTTCTAGTGTCTTCTCAACGTGTGGATAACTTGTGAATATCTTCTCAAATTTGCTTGCATTTGTTTAGGCTTTCTTGCCCCACAATGCAATCTGCTTAGTTCTTTAGGCTTGTGCTATGATACCTTATATTAAAATGCAGATATTATACTTTATTAATTTAATGTGCAAATTTAAGAGAATCGTTGCACTCAATTTCTATGGTTGTGTTTTAGTATGAGATTGATGCCCCTCCCATTTCTCCACATTATATATTTGAGTTTATCTTTTTGGCCTACAAAGTTTGTTGATGGTGCGGTTTATTCAGTATCAATGCAATGATTGACTGTTTAACACTCTTAACCTGTTTTAATGCTCGAATCATCATTCCATAATGTTTTGATTTGTTGTTATTGGTACCTGCAGCTTGTAAAACTTCCTCGGTCACCAACTGTTGATGAAATTTTGACAAAGTACCTTGAATTCAAAACAAAGAAGGATGGCATGTAAGAAATGATTGATAGTTAAAAATTCATATCCTTCCATCTTTTTCTACTCTTGTTATTTATTTTTGTGATTTTTTCATCTCGTACATTAGGTTGTATTTAATTAGATGTAAGCTGTGGACAATGTCTCTGTGATACAGGGCTCCTGATTCAATAGGAGAAATTTTGAAAGGAATAAGGTGTTATTTTGATAAAGCACTGCCTATGATGCTCTTGTACAAAAAAGAACGCAAGCAATATAATGATGCAATTGTGGACAATGTATCTCCGTCAACAATATATGGAGCTGAACATTTATTGCGCCTTTTTGGTATAGTCATTACTTATCTTTTAATGTTTTTTCCTGGCCAGTTGCAAGAATATAGTTTTATTTGTATTTCTAGCCATTACGATGATGGGAATATAGTTGCAATGTTAGGACTATAGCATTTTAAAGTTATCCCTGATCAACATACCTTCTTGAATTTTCATGTGTTCAGCAAAACGATGATTTTTTTTTTCTTCTGGTGCTTGCAGTTAAGTTACCTGAGCTTTTGGCATATGTAAATATGGAGGAGGAAACATTGAATCGCTTGCAGCAGAAATTAATTGACTTTCTCAAGTAAAAACCGAAACCCTGCTCATTATATTTAGAAATTTAGATACTATTACTGTTGGAATATTACTGTTCAGTGTATACACTGCACTGTAGCTCTCAGCTGAAATAATGACAAAACTGTCGTGCTCATATATATTAATGTATCTAATGGTTAATATATCTCGTCTTCATAACTCGTTTACTAGCTCATGATTGCACAACCATTTTAAAAGAAATTCAATTTTAATGTCGGTTACGTAGGCCCCTTTGGTGGTTTTTTTAGGGTTCAACCTAGGCTTTTTTTGCTGCTTTTGTTATCCTGGAAAAGAAAAAATAATGTTGCATACGAATTATTTCATAATGGACTACTATTAAAAACAAGCATGAATGTACCCAAAAGAAAAGAATGTCATCGACTCCAATACAACGAGATACACATCTATGTACAGGATGAATAGGGGTGAGCTTTCCTAGATTGCAGGGATTTGGAACATGTTAGATCAGAGATATTACTTTATCTATATTCGGCTACTGATGTGTAAATAAGTGCTTTCCCCTGTGTAATTCACTTATATTTCTTTCCCTCTTGAGTTGGGGAATGCATTTTTCCTGTCAGGTTAATAGGGAAAAGTTTATTTTTAATTGTTACGAGTATAGGGTTTTGCTGCCGTTGATTTGATAAATAAACTCATTGCAGGTTTTTGCAGAAAAATCAAAGTACCTTCTTTCTTTCAGCATATGATGGCACCAAAGTCTCTGAAGGAAAAGGAAAGGGGAAGGATGAATGAGAAGAAACATTGAATCCCTGGTCTTTATCCTGTTGTATTCTTGGTTGTTGTTATAGACAATATCATCTCTCCCTTGAAAAATTCAGGGCAGAAACTCAATTGTTGTTGTAAGAATGTTGACTAATTCATTCTTTAATTTTTAAAGTTTTTTCAATTGCAAATTGCAAATGCTATACAATGTAAACGTCTGGTGGCTCAGGTACATATATGGCCTCTTCATGGCTGGGATATGCGAAAATAGTGACCCAGTGAAATCTTGTGAGACACTCAGATTTCTGGCCTGGAAGAAAAGTTGGTTGGTCTAGCCTGACCTATTTTTAACCAGGTTGCACATAAACCGAGTCAAACCACGTTTTGAAAAACGCTTTATTCATCTTATAGCGTGTTTGTATACACGTTCCAAACGTGTGTATACAAACACGCTCTTATTGTAATTTCACTGTAATGCATTCTTTCTGGTCAGCTTACGCACGAATTTACGATTTTTTTTTATACATTAAAGGGAGTCTCTCTTTTAATTCTACGAGTATTTTTAAATTGTGTTGTATGTAAATAAAAAGTTGGGAGAAGTGGTTAAATTTCCTAAATTTTATCTCTTTTATAAAATAAATATGTTAAGACTTTATATTCATCTTAATGATCATGAAGTTTATTTTCATTCGCAAAAAAGTACCATAAATTTTGATTGTAGCAATTGATCCTGGAATATCATCTCCTTTTGCATATAAACATTAATTTAAATTTTATCTTAATTAATCTTTAACATTTACTCATTTTTAAAAAATATTTTCTTATTAAAAACAGGGTTAAACTGCTGACAAGGAATGAATTTCAACTATTTATTTATTTTAAATACCAATTATTTATTACTTTTATTTTTATAGAAAACTTTTTGAAACAATATATGTAAAAATAATTAGAAATAAAAAATTAAATGGAATATTTTTAATTGTCTTTTTCTTCTAAATTCATATTTTAGTTACTTGAATATATGAAAAATGAATTGTAGCAAAAGAAGAAAAAAGATAATAAAAGATTGACATATATAGATAAATAATTTAATTCTAATAAGATAAAAATAACTATTTGTAAAAAAAATATAAAGTTTAAGAATTAATTATAATGAACTTGAAATTTAAGGTGTCTTTTTTTTTTCGTCTAGGGCACCTCAAAGGGTGAGATAACTGATCATAGGATTTAACGCGACTGCATACACAAGACAGGATTCAAACCCCTGACCTTGCTTAAGGGTTGATCAACTCTTATTACTGAACCACTTGGAGTTACAATTTAAGGTGTCTATTAACAAAAATATGTGAAGTTTAATAATCAATTAAAAGAAATTAAACTTTATTGTAATTGTTTGTATTCTTTAATGAGATTTTATTTGATCTAGTAGTTATATGTGTTGAGTGAGAATAAAAAGGATAGAGAATAAAGAATAAACTTGAAATGGAGGGATAAATTTAAATATTCTAATTATTACTAGTAATGGATTTAAAAATTTTAAATAATGAGAATAATATTTATATACAAAATTGTATTAATTAATAAAAATATAATTTTACATTTTTTAAATAAAAATATATATTTTAATTAGTTTATATGAGATTTCATATTCTAAAAATATCAAATAATTTTCTTATTTTCAAAATTTTTAAAATTATTATTTTTTATACAAATAAAAAAATAATTATTTAACTATTCATTTCTCACAATTAAAACTTTACTTTTTAAAAAATAATATAATATAAATTAGAATAAATTATCATATTTTAACTAAATTTACTTAACAATAATTAACCTAAAATATCGGACACCGAGATACAAAGTTGAATGTAAAAATTTACGGAATCAATCAATTGTTTGGTGCCGAGAATCCCCGGCTTAATAGAAAGCATGACAGGGCATGAATTAATTGATTGATGTTTAAAGTGGTGGATCTACTTAGCTCCTACCAAACTATTGGAGGCAATGAGCACATTATGTGGTGGGGATGGCGTAAACTGAATGCCAATGGTTCATTTTCAATTTCACTCAGTCAAGCTCCCAAACAATTGTTAACTGACTAACCACTGCGTCAGAGCAGACTCCGATGATGACCAAGTCCTGAAGCTCCTCATCTCAAGATGGAAGCTCTTCCTTACACCAATTTGCACTCACTCGCTCCTACCCCCATTCGATCCTCCAAGCTCCCCCTTCGCCCGCTCCAATTTTCTATCAAACCTATTTATTCCTCCAAATTCCTCATTCTCCACCACCACAGGCTCCGTTGCCTAGCTGAATCCACCACCAACCATGGCCACCACGACGACCATCACGGTCACCACCACCACTGTCACCACCACCACCACTCTCACGGCGTCGATGGCGCTAATCTCACCGCGCCTCAGAAGGCGATTATCACGTTCGCCAAGGCCACGCGATGGATGGAGCTGGCCGATATCCTGAGGGAGCACTTGCATCTGTGCTGCTTCTCCACCGCCTTGTTTGTTGCCGCCGCAATTTGCCCTCACGCCTTGCCTAAGCCCCTCGTCAAGCCTCTCCAAAACGCTCTCATTTTCGTCGCTTTTCCTTTGGTTGGGGTACCGTTACGAATCTCTCTCTCCCTCCTTTCTCTTCTTCGCTACACTGTTATTTCACACTCTGCCTCTGTGTTCCTCCCAGGTTTCTGCATCGCTTGACGCTCTTATTGAGGTCAGTAGCGGAAAGGTGAACATCCATGTGTTGATGGCAATGGCAGCCTTTGCGTCAATGTTCATGGGAAACTCTTTGGAAGGAGGCTTGCTTCTTGCCATGTTTAATCTGGCGCATATAGGTAAGCGAGAGCTGCTAATTCAATTCTTTCACAACTAGTAAGTTTCATATGCTTATTGAGTGAATGGTTTATGTAGCCGAAGAGTATTTCACCAGCCGATCAGTGGTGGATGTTAGGGAATTGAAAGAAAATAATCCTGATTTCGCCCTTGTTCTGGATACCAATGATGATAAACTTCCCAATACATTTGACTTGGCATACAAGAGGGTTCCCGTGCATGATGTTACTGTGGGATCATATATCCTGGTTGGTGCCGGCGAGGTAGGTTTTTGTAAATTTGTTGTCTTGCCATAATTTTGAAATTTGAATTGATTCAATGTAATTATAGTTATCTTCGAAGTTACTTCATAATTTGAATTGGTTGGCACCGGTGTGGATATGAAGTGGGTGCGATTTGAATTGCCTCACCATACAAGATGGGTAAACCATGACTGTTGTCTTCTGATGGTTTTTGAGGTTTTCAATTGGATAAGCATTTTTTTAATACAATCATTAACTGGCATTCATTACAATTTTTGGTGGCTTGGACACAGTTAACCTTTGCGTATATGGTTTGTAACTTTGCTGCAGTATAAATCAATAGTTACAATAAATAAGTTATGATTCCATTTCTTTTCATAATATCCTTAGAATAATTATTAATGCCTTTAAAATATTTATGCTACTAAACTGATTTTGCAGTGAAGTTTTTGTGCAGAGTACACACCACTTGATTTACTTGTCTGTACAAAGTATGTCACTGTGTCTGAAAACATTACGGACCAAATAATATTATTTTTATTAAAAAATTCAAATGCCACTTTTTTTTAAAAATCATTTTAAGTGTGTTCCTGCTCTTCATGTTCCATTTCCTTTCTGTTTTGATAAAGGATTCCTTCACATTGCCCCACCCATCCCCCTAAAAGAGCAAAATAAAAAAAAAATATTAATTTCATTTAAACCTTAAGTACATTCTAATATACAGCATAGACTCGTACAAACTCATACATGCACAATTTGGAATTTCAAGTTTCATACAGCAGATTATTGAAGTATAATGGGGATGGTGTTGTGATTAGTCTGTGCCAGTAGATTGTGATGTATACCAAGGCAGTGCGACAATTACCATCGAGCACTTGACAGGGGAAGTCAAACCTTTGGAGGCCAAAGTTGGAGATAGAATTCCTGGTGGTGCAAGGAACTTGGATGGGAGGATAATTCTGAAGGTATGTTGAACTGTACATCAATGTTTGGAAATTGCAGCAAATTTTTGTATATTCTACTAAATTTCAAAGTTTTGCATTTATATTTACATTGGAAAAAGTGGTAATAATGTTGGTAGTATGAGACTAGGGCTGGGTGGTGATGTATATAGTATGGTAAGTTGGTGACCGGTCATGATGGTGATGGATAAGGTCAGATGGTGGTGTTATTGGGTGGGAAGCAATAGTAGTAATGTGGTGGCAGTGGCTGCAATTGTATAATTAATCTTATTACACTTTTGGTTATTAATGTTTTTACTTTTTAGTATATTTTATTTTATGAGTATGACTCTAAGGGGGTGTTTGACAAGGGAGAAATTTTTTCATACCTAGGAATTATGATTTCCGGGAATTACAAATCCTGGGAATCATGATTCCTGGGAATCATGATTCCTGGGAATCATGATTCCTAGAAATAGCTAAAATATGTTTGGTTGAATCATGATTCTTGGGAATAACTAAAATATGTTTGGTTACTCATAAAGGTTTCTAGGAGTATTCATATAAGATTCTTAGAAATTAAAGATTTTCATGTTTGGTTATACTACTATATTTTTGGATATATAAATATTTTTTATAAAATATCCTTTATTAAAATAAACTAATTAGATATATTTATTTATTCAAATCTTATTACAAATATGACATTAAACTATTTTTAAAAAGTTAAAAACTTATAGTTAAAATTATTTAAATATAGAATTTAACAGAAAAATAAACAAAGAAAAATGCTACATAATAATTAAGAAGGATAAAAATATATATTTCATTTCATTCAAATTAGTTAATTAATTAATTAAAAAATTTAACAAATACCATTAAACATAGAAATAAAACAGACTATAATATTATTGAAATTAACGAGGTCAAGAAATAATGAAATACAAGAAAGAGAGAGATAAATAAAGATATGAGAGAGGGAGAGGGAGAGGGAGAGAGGGGGAGTGAGAGTGAGAGAGAGAGAGGGAGAAAGAAAGAGAGAGAGAGAGATGGAGAGGCAGAGATGAAGAGAGGGGGAGTGAGAGTGAGAGTGAGAGAGAGGGAGAAAGACAAATAGAAGGAGAGGGAGAAAGAAAGAGAGAGAGAGATGGAGAGGTAGAAACGAAGAGAGGGGGAGTGAGGGTGAGAGCGAGGGAGAAAGAAAAATAGAAGGCGAGGGGGAGAGAGAGAGAGAGAGAGAGGAAGAGGGAGAGGGAGAAAGAGAGAGAGAGAGAGGAAGCGGGAGAAAGAGAGAGAGAGAGAGAGGAAGAGGGAGAAAGAGAGAGAGAGAGAGGAAGAGGGAGAAAGAGAGAGAGAGGGAGAGGGAGAGAGGAAGAGAGGGGGAGTGAGAGAGATAGAGAGAGAAAGAGAAATTGAAGGAGAGAGAAAGAGAGAGATTTTCTGTTTTAAAATAGGATACTGTGATATTTTTATATGCATTAAACTTTCCCTCTAACTTGAGAAAGTTGGATTCCCACCTCCTTCATAGGAATGTTTTTGTGAGAGAGTGAGATAAAAATAGTTCTTGCGAAACTACATTTCTGGGAATCTCTTTTTTTATTTTATTTTAAATAACTATCAAACATAAAAAACTAAGATTTTCACTTTAATATTCCCAGGAATATAAAAACATTCCACGTACTGAACGCCTCCTAAACTACTAGTTTTTGAGGTTGTTAGACAGTGTTTGTGATGGTGCTCAAATTGTTGGAGTTATTAATAGGTAGTTAGTGGTTGCTGTATGTTTCAGCTGGAAATAAATATTTTGGTGATTAATTGCAAGTTTCACCAGACAGGAACGATACCTAGATATCAAAATTTCATTTTCATCAATGAAGATTGAAAATTAGGCGATGAGCAGATGAGTTAAATTCATAGATATATATGGATAAGTTACTAGAGATTGGGATGCTAGGTTGCTAGTTCTGGTTTGTCAGTAATAGTTTGTCTTGTTCAACACTTAAAAATGTTTCTCGGTACGTGCCGTCTTGTTTGAAGTGTGATTTTGTTGGAAACATACCATATAATACAAAAAAATTGATTTCAGGTAAAGAAAACTTGGAAGGAATCAACTCTCAGCAGAATTGTTCAATTGACCGAAGAAGCACAGTCAAATAAACCTAAACTTCAAAGGTGGCTGGATGAATTTGGTGAACGTTACAGCAAAGTTGTTGTGGTGTTATCAATTGCTATTGCTGTTATTGGGCCACTTGTATTTAAGTGGCCATTCATTAGTACATCTGGTAATTTTTTAATTCCTTTTCTCTAGTAGTAGTGCTGTATAATATACATAAATTTTAAAATTTAATCACTAATTATTTTTTATTCTGTTGTCATTTTGTTTTTCTTTGTGGGATCAGATATGCCATTTACTCCTTTCCTTTGATAATAATTTAGTAAAAACTTGGAATTAAAGTAGAAAGAACATAGATCAAGCTGCCTACATGTTACAAGCAGAGGTAGCTTCTGCTAACTGAAATCACAGAGGAAGGGCTGGATAAAATACAAAAATTACAAGGGAGATGCATAGAATACCTCATTGCTTCCCCAAACTTCATTTCTCATTTCTTTTTGTCACGTTTCTCACTTCTTGTCTTTTCTCTGCTGGGTGGATAGACCCTCCTATTCTCTCCCCATCTTTATTCCTCCTTTCATATGCATGCAGCCCTCCCCACACCTTTAGAACCAGCCCTATTATGGCAATAGCCCTTGTTTCCTTGTTTTTGATGGGCTTGGGAAAGTGGTGTATCGTGGTTTAACAAATGGTACCAAAGTCTCCTATTTGTAAATGTTATTCTGCAGTCATTATCACCAATTTATAGTGCTCAATGCCCATGTTTCTCCAATACTTTTGTTAAAAGGATATATTATCCTAAAAATATGTTGTTGCATGTCTATATATGAAGTAACTTTCATATTTTAGCTCATTTAGTGTCTGATTGATGTAGCTTGCAGAGGTTCAATTTACAGAGCCTTAGGGCTTATGGTGGCAGCATCACCTTGTGCCTTGGCTGTGGCCCCATTGGCATACGCTATAGCAATCAGCTCCTGTGCCAGAAAGGTATCTAAATACATGTCACAGTAGATTTCAAATTTTAATATCATATATGAAATTGCTCTCCGAATCTTAGTTTTTCCTTTTGCTAGAATAAAGTGTTATCCTAGTTTTTCATTAATCAGTTATGAAGTATTTTGCACACTTCTTTGTATTCAGCATTATATTTTCAAGAATTATAATCCTGCACCTTTTGAAAATCTTGCTGGTGTTTACTCATTATACTCATATCTGCTGGTATTTCTTAGATTTAATGGTAAGTAGTGATATTCTTGAGTTATGCCCTAAGACAAAAATCTCAGATGGTATTGGAGTATATAGTAGATCTATTGTTGGGTTACCTTTTTGACCACTCTCCAGCTCCGTAGCCTTGGGCATGACAGAATGTGTTGGAAAGCCGCCTTAATTGTGGTCACTCTTCGCCTGCCTTAATTGCAGCCTTAATGGAGTGTGTTCTGTTCCACGCTGCTTAGAGATATGACTTTAATAAAGCTTATAGAGTCTGGACAGTGTTCACCTTACTAGGTTCATTGTTGGGTCACTTGCATTGCCATGATCCAGGTCCTTAGCCTTAAGCATGACAGGGTGAGTTGGAAACTCACCATAATTGTGTTTACCCATTACCTGCCTTAATTGTGGCCTCTTTGGAGCACTTTCATTTTGCTGACTGCTGAGTTTGAAGGAGTGTGTATAGTTTCACACTGACTAAAGATATGACCAATGTAATCCTTATAAAACTTGGACAATCCTAATTTTAAAAGGCAACCGACTTTATGGGGTTAAGTTACATCATACGCCAAAGTTTATGACATTTTAAATAATGTTATGAAATCTTAATCATTTAGGCGATGCTGATATTAGCATCTAAATTTCTATTTAATATTCATTATCCATCGAGAGAAAGGAAATAGCTTTCATTAACTGTCAAGCAAAGAACAAACTTATAAAGCTATCGATTATTGTACATGGAGTAGGCTTTTTTTCCTAATGTCAATCTTCCCATCCACATTAAAACTACTTGATCAGACTTGTTATTGAAGAAAAACTAAGCCATTGACATGATTAATATATTCTATAACAAGGGAAATAAGTATTGTCTTCAAGACCATGAAACTAATTGTTAGTGCTTGAGTAAAGATTCTTGATGAGGTCTGTCAATAATAAGGTGAACAGAATGAAGAGTTTGATTATACCATTTAAGTCCTTTAGATGGTTTCTTTGTTGGTTTGAGTGAAGTAGAAAGTTATTCCAATTTTTCCAAAATGGTTCTTTCTTTTATTGTGGGTGTGACAGTTACCTCAATTTGCAGGGGATATTGCTCAAAGGTGGGCATGTTCTGGATGCTCTAGCTTCTTGTCGTACTATTGCATTCGACAAAACAGGGACATTGACAACTGGTGGACTTGTATTCAAAGCAATTGAACCCATTTATGGTCATCGTGTTAGAAACAATGAATCAAATGTTTCTTCCTGTTGCATTCCCACCTGTGAAAAAGAAGCTCTTGCTGTTGCTGCAGCTATGGAAAAGGGTACTACTCACCCCATTGGAAGGTATCATTTTGAATACTGTATTTTTGTTACTTTTGAATTCCTTTTACTAGTTACAATTGTGGCTGTTGTTGGTTCTGTGGAAACTGAATTGTATTCATCTAATGAAAGTAGGAGTAAGAGAATAATTTTATATACAACATATTCTAATTAACTTATGGGTCCAATACCACTATGGTACACTATCACTCTTGCTCAAGTTGGAGCATATAGATTATATGCACCAAGCTTGTTACAAATAAGCCCAATTTGGGATCCCTAATAAACTTGGTGAAAATATTAGCTAGTTCATTAGAACTAGTCTATGTGTAACTAGTAAACAATACAACCAGAGAAAACTTTTTCTCTAATGAAATGACAATATAATTCAATATTTTTGGTCCTCTCATGAAAAACTAGATTTGAAGTAATTTGAAGAGCAACATGATTATCACAAAACAACTTCATTTGAGATACCTCTACAATTTTAATTCACATATAAGTTGCTTGATCCAAATAAGCTCACATGTGACCAAGGCCATAACCTGATGCTCAGCTTCAACAGTAGATCTAGCTACAACCTATTTCTTACTTTTCCAAGAGACAAAATCACCTCCAACAAGAATCCAAAATCTAGAGGTAGAGTGTCATTTAGAAGGAGATCCAGCCCGTCAACATGCGTAACCAACCAGCCACGTTAGAGTAGTGACCTTCATTTTCAAACAATAAATCTCGACTAGGATATTGTTAGGATCCTCTTTTTAGAGCAAGAAACAATAAAGCCTAACAAAGAACAATTGCACACACACAGAAAAAGATTCTGAATTTTCTCTCTTTATTACAGAAAACTGATTACAAATCAAGAACCAAGGTATACAAGTATACCCCCAAAAGGGGCACTCTCATTTTCACATTGGAAACGTCCAGTTAGAAAGATTATACAAAAAACTGCCTCCTCAAAACAATAGAGGGATTATTTATTAGGATCTACATCATAGTGATTTAACTAACTCAGCTTCCCAAGCCACAGTTACAAATTGACCAAGTCAACTGTCATTTGACCCTTTCCTCTTTCTTTAACATTTTCCCTTAAAGTTTGTTGCTCTGAGTCGGTCCTAACAGAGATCCTTTGACATGCCTCAAAATATGAATAGTTTCATCCTAATGACTATATCAGAGGGAGTAGAGGAATTGACTCACCATTGAAACAACAAAAGAAATATTGTGACAAGTTATAGAAAAATAATTTAGCTTACCAACTAGTCTCTGAAACCTTCCAAGATTAGTCAATGGCTTTCCCTAACCAAGAAAAGCTTAACATTAAGATCCATAGGAGAGTCAATGGTTTTGCAGACATGCCAGTTTCCTCAAGAATGTTCAATACGCACTTCCTATGAGAGACAACAACACTGTAATTAGATTGAGCTACATTAATACCCAAAAAAATATTTCATTGAGCCCAAGTCCTTGGTTTGAAAGTAATGGAACAAATGTTTCTTCAACTTTTCAAGGACATCTTGATCATCTCCCGTTATGACTATCATAAACATAAATTACTGGATAGATACATCTTCCTTGAGAGTTATATCTATAAAAGATGAAAGTGCTAACGACACACATTTTTATTGGTTAGAATTTATTGAATATCACTAAATCAGGAGAGAGTCATTAAATAGGCTGTGAGACCAACCAACTTATGTGTTTTTCATTAAATTTCAATCATTAGAGAAAATGTGTTCAAAAGAGTGTATCAGAGAGTATGTTCCTAGCATTTTTCATAAAAGATTGTATGATCAAAATTGTAATGAGATGTGCCAAATTTTTAAACAACAATGCTAAACCTTCCAAACCAAGCATGAGGAGATTGCTCCAGAATAAAGATAGGGTTGAAGTTTACAAACCAGAGTAAATTCTCCCTAAGCAACAAAGCTAGGTGGTTGCTCCATATAAATCTCTTCATGAAGTTCAGTTTGAAGAAATGCATTCCTAATATCAAACTAAAACATGGGCTAAGAACAAATTATAGCCATGGCCAAGATGAGACAACTAAAGGACATCTTGGCAATAGGAGAGAAAGTATGTGTGTAATCTTATTCTTGGTCATAAACTTAAGTGTATCCTTTAGCAACAAGGCCTGCCTTAAGCCTATCAATCTGACCAACTGGACCAACTTTAAAGCAATAGGAGTTTTACTTGAAGGGAGAGGGACCATATGGCATTAGCATGAAGAGCAGTAATCTCATTCACCACGGCCTAACACCATATGGGTTGTTAAAGAGACTTTCTAGTACTATTAGGTGTAGATGGAGTAGACAAGGAGGAGATAAAAGCTCAATGTGAAGTAGACAAGCGGATAGCAACCATGAAAATTATAAATTGCATGAGGATTACAGTTGGAACAAGTGCCTTTCCTATTGACAATGGGAAGATCATGACTTGGAGTTGGGTCTGCAGGAAGTGAGTCAGTGGGAATTGCTTGGGAACTATGTAGGCTCTGCAATGATAAACTTGAAAGGGTCTAGAGACTATAAGTTTTGTGTAATTAGATTCTCTAGGTTGAAATTGAGATAGTAGCAAAACTTTGACGATTGAGATGGAGTAGAGAAAGATGAAGGATAAAAGGGAAGGACTCAAAGTAAGTAACCTCAGCCAACCTCAGCCAAAATGTAATACTTGTTTGTTTATGGAGAGTGGCATTTGTGCCCTGAGTGCAATAGTATGCAAGAAACTGTAAGAAATGGAATCAATTGAAAATTTCTTAGAAACAAGATGAATGTTTTACACTAAAAAGCCTCAGGAATCCGAGAGCCTAAATCTCTCCCACCAAGTTCTTAACTGTTTTCCTAACTCCCATTTTCCCTCCTTTTCCTATTTATTAGCCTCCTATTATTACATGTAACAAATTAAGTTATTGATAGCTGTCACAACTACTAACTGGCTATTCTAATCCTTTGGGTCGTAGCCCACTTCCTCCTCTTTGCCCTTTTCTAACATAAACATTCCTAATTGGGGGCCTGTTACTAACAGAAATATACATTTTGATTGACTTTGCTGGCAACTTATCCTGTTTAGGTGCTACGTTATGAACAAAACAGATAGAACTGAAAGTGCAAGGAGGAACAAGATATAAAGTCTGGCCAGGAACCATTCTTTGAAGCTTGTTTCAATGGAGTGGAATCATTAGCTTTGGCTCTTGTTGACTCTAATACCTTGAGCAAAGAGGCTTTAGAAAGAAACTGCCCTTGCTACTTTTCTAAGAATACATAATTTACATAATATAGGTTACAGTTACCTTAATCATAGGAAGTAAAAAAGGATAGAATAGGGAAATAACTTCTAACTTACAATAGTTAGTAATCATGATGCAATTAGGAAATCACAATCAATTTGCAATATCTATAACTTGTCTTGTTAAATGCTAATTCCTATCAATGAGATTTCCCACATATTTCACTTTTTAAACGTTCACTTATGCCATCTCAATTGTATAAATAAAGTGCAATATTAAACATGATTAACTCTTAGTCCTTATGCATTTTTCTTTTCGGTTAAATGAATTTCAGGGCTGTGGTTGACCATAGTGAAGGCAAAGACCTCCCATCTGTTTCTGTTGAAAGTTTTGAATACTTTCCTGGTAGAGGCCTTACTGCTACTGTTAATAGCGTTGAGGTACATTGTTATTATGTGTGTTGCTCAACCCATTACTTAAATATTCATTTTGCTTGACAAAGTCAAGTATTGCAGTATACATGACCATGTATTTTCAGTATCTCAAGCTCATTGTGCATGCATTTACGAGACCTCTAATTGTTTCCTTGTGCACTTCTTCAAAGATTTGTTTCATTATTTTCCATTTGTTTTCTTTATATATTGATGCTAATGCAAGAGCTGACTATATATTATAATGGGACCCATGTTAGAGATTCCCAAATATCAACAGTTAGTTATAATAAAAACAGTTTTAGGATGCATGACTTTAATTTTGGGTGCTTGACATTGTCCTATAAGTGAAAAAGAATTGGGAACAACATTTATAGGTTTAATAAAGAAAGCATTGAACAACATAACAGAGAAAACATGGTTCTAAAATTCTAAAAAACAGAACTAAATTCCAAAATTTTGAAAAAAAATAGAGCACAAAAATAGTCACAGAAGAAGAGATGAGGAACATTTGAAGAAATGAATAACAAACAGATAAAAAAGAAAGAAATGGAAGGGAAAAAAAACTGTTATGGGTTGCCAGAGTTGTTTGCCAGAAAAGCCCAGAGCTCAGGTCACTCGCGAGGGTGGTGGCCTGAGAAAGTTTTCTGGAGTTGTTTGGCCAGAACTTGGGAACTTCACAAGAGAGAAGATGAGAAGAAAAAAGGGTAAAGGGAAGCTCTGTTATGGGCATTGCAAACCACCACAAAGCCATGGCCATGGTGGGTGCCGTGGCAGATATGGCAGACAGTGTACAATGATACAATGGGGAACAACGAATGGAAAATGGCAGAGGGGTCCAAAAACGCTGCTTTATACCTTTATGTCAGTGCCATAATGGTTATTTGATAACATTGGTTACAGCAGAGTATCAATAGTTGTAGTTAGAACAATTAGTTAGTTAGCTAGTTAGAGAGGGTAAGGGCATAGGGATTACAATTGGATTCAAACTTGATTGGCACTTGCAAAAATACCCATAACGGAGAGGAATTAGTCACTAAAATCAGTGCAGGTTTGGGTATTTTAGTATCCGCCTTGCAACATTACCACACATTAAATAATTATATCTAATATAATAAATTTAAGTGAAAAAATATTTTGCTTATAAATTAATACTGTTGGAATTATGGTCTCAACTCAAACAATCTGTAGGGCATGTTTTTACTATTCTTCATTGTTCAAGAGTATATGAAGTGAGGCTAACCACCTAATTTTAAATTGCCACCTAGCTATAGGGTGCATTTACTTCATTATGTACATCAACAACATTGTCATTACAAGTTGTGATTAAGGTTGTCAAACTCGAGAGTTTTATTTAGAAGACCTCTAAAAGAATAGATGCATTTTTTTATTAGGGATATTCGTTGTATATATAAAATAAATTATTTTATTGTGTTTCCCTTTTTGTGCACTCTAAAAGTTAATATTTCCATATTATTCTAATGATGTAATTAGTTGGTTGAAAGACCTCTAAAAGTCTAGTCTAAGAGAGTTAAGGGAAATTGAAATAGTCAAAATTAATCTTATAGATGGATTACACAAATAGAATCAAGCCATTTCTTTATTTTTTTATATTTCCATTTTCTTCATTGACTCGTAATCTCCCATCTTAAACCTGGTAGAGTTTACTTAATATAAAATAAATATTAAAAACTTATGAGTAACATATATCTATGAAACGTAATACTTCTAATATAATAATAATTCAACATCAACTTTATAATAAAGCACAATAATAAAATAATAAAGTTTGACAATACTCATAAATTTTATAAAAAAAATCTTCTTAAAATAAAAACATTTTAAAACACTAATATATTAATATTATACAACTATACATAAATAAACTTGCAATTCATAAAAATATTATAACTTTTATCCGTGAATAGTTAGAAGACAAAAGTAGAAAGTCACGAACTTGAATGACTTCAACAGAGTGAATGGGTCTTCAGCTAGAGACCACTACCTTCCAAGTGAATGACTTCAACAAAGTGAATGACAGAGTTCGAAGTGCACAACTACTACCTTAGTTAATATTATTCAATAAAATGAATTCATAATAAATTCTAAGAAAATAAAAAGGAATAAATTAAATTTTTTTTTTCATAAGCTAATTTATAGAATTTTTTCATCTTATTTTATGCATAAGCTAATTTTAATGTATGGGAGAACCTTATTTCAATTATTTTATTTTCCTATATGTGCTTATGAATAAGTTGATCCAAACAAGATCTTGATGTGATTTATTAGAACTATTATAAAATTCATACCCAAAATTCCCATTAACAAAACAGAACTTCCTGCTGTGTAGAAATTAAACTTCATAGTTGAATACAAACATGTCTTTCCACCCCACATTGGATCATAAAAGTGGAAAAGGGAGAATTAATTCTAATTCCCTCATGATGAAAAAAAGTAAAATGTGTTGAGAAGAAATTGGTCCTATTTGACCACTATACATTGCTGACATCAGGAAATAGAATAATTGGGGTGCTTGAGTAACTGGCTGAACCATATAATTTCTTCTCATATAGTTTAATTGTGAAATGACAAGAAAATGACTCTAATTTATTTTTGTTTAATTATAGTCAGGAGTTGGAGGTGCTAAACTATTGAAAGCATCACTTGGATCTATAGATTTCATCACTTCCTTTTGTCAATCTGAAGACGAGTCAGAAAAGATCAAGGAAGCTGTTAATACATCTTCTTATGGAAGTGAATATGTTCATGCTGCCCTTTCAGTTAATAAGAAGGTGGTATACTGTCATCAACACATTTTTTTTTCTGGGAAGGGGTAATGCTTTAAGCATTTTCATAGACCTGTCCAGCTGGTGGAGCTGACTGCATACCCTAATCTCTTAACTTCTCCGGCCTGTTTACTCCCCCCACCCCAAAATAATTTTGCCTTCCACATAAGATATGCTACCCCTCACTCTCAACAGTCTCCACCTGAACCTAACATGCTGATCACTTTCTGCAGGTAACATTGATTCACCTAGAGGATAGGCCTCGTCCTGGCGTTTTTAATGTTATTCAAGAATTGCAAGATGAAGCAAAGTTTCGTGTGATGATGTTAACTGGTGATCACGAGTATAGTGCAAGGAGAGTTGCAAGTGCTGCGGGCATCAATGAGTATTATTGCAACCTGAAGCCTGAAGATAAGCTGAGTCATGTAAAGGATATCTCAAGAGATATGGGTAAGTTCCTTGATTAGCATTTCTTTTTTATCTTTGTATCTCTGATATCTGATAACATGGTATTACATTTGGATACTATTATCAATTTTATTTTTTTAGTTGCATACTAATAGTTCCTTTTCCAATATAAGTTCTGTGCCCCCTCTTGATGCTTCCAGCTTCAACTGTACAAGTAAATTGTGCAGAACTGAAGCCTGAAAAACAACCTTTACAGGCTTGATGCTTCACTTTCAAATTTTGTTTTATTGTACCTTTGTTAACCAGTGATCCAACTCATCTTTTTTTTTTTTTATGACGATATTATTTTCTTAACGAGGTTCCTACATAATATTTGATTAAATTGCTTGATGTCTTTTTCACATACGTTCTGTGCTCTTAAGCCATTTTGTCTATACTAATGTAACAGGGGGAGGCTTAATTATGGTTGGTGAAGGCATCAATGATGCCCCAGCACTTGCTGCTGCAACTGTCGGCATAGTTCTTGCTCACCGTGCTAGTGCAACTGCCATAGCTGTTGCAGATGTTTTGTTGCTTAGAGAGAACATTTCTGCAGTGCCATTTTGTATAGCCAAGTCTCGCCAAACAACTTCACTGGTATTTTTATTAGCAACAGATACAATACATAATTTCGCCAGCTCTTGGATGTTGTTGCCTTACATGTGAATGCACATGCAGATTAAACAAAATGTGGCTTTAGCATTGACATCCATCGTCTTAGCTTCCCTTCCATCAGTTTTGGGATTTCTGCCATTGTGGTTAACGGTATGAAAATTCAATTTAAATTTCATGCTGAATTATTCTACCATTCTGCTGCACAACATTCGTTTTCTTTTGACAATCATGTAGTGAATGACTTGAGCTAGCATCTTTGACTGGTTATGATTAGAAATCTCACGAATCACGATCACTTTGGTAAAGATTGCCACTGGCTGTGGCCAATCAAATTTGATAAGTGCCACCTCTATCATTAAAATAAAACTCAGTTTAACTTGTTTACTTGAATTTCTGTGAATTATTACATCCCTAAGAATAGGTCCTTTTGCTTAATTGCCTTTTCCGGTTAATTAAAGGTGATACCACAACCTTAATTGCTAGATTTGCTTTTAACTTGTTTTTGTTTTTTCGTGGTTGCTCCTTAATCTACCTCTTATATCCTTTGTATGCATGCAGGTTCTTTTACACGAAGGTGGAACCCTGCTTGTATGTCTCAATTCGGTACGTGCCCTGAATGAACCATCTTGGTCCTGGAAGCATGATATATCACATTTGATTAGCCAAGTTAAATCTAGACTCGTATCTCTCAATACAAATATCACGGCCTCAAGAAGTAATATAACAACGAATTTGTAACGTAGTGTTGTAGGGTACAGCATATTTATAGTGTATTGAGAAAAATGTCAATATCTCTTTCCTTGTATATCTGTAGGCATTTTTTCTTCATCCCATAGAATTAAACATTCCCTTTTGTTTGTGGGTAGTTTCCCTTCTTTAATACTCGTTTTAGCATTCAAATGGAATAAGAAAAATGGCATATTAAGGGACGAATATGCTTATACATTTCGCAGTCATAAGACAATATTCATATGAAGAAATATCGGCGCAAAAAACAGCTGACTGACATTGACCTTGCGATGTCCAAGGCTTTTCTTCGTGGTGTAAATAATCCCATAAATTTCGAATCCTACGCATTTTTTAATTGACGTCGCAGCTTTTTATTATAGATAGGAAGTGAGACACAATTTGAGACGTGACTGATTTCACTCCTAATTAAAAATAAAACCAGTGGTTTTTCTAACGTCTTCCATTAGGTAAAAAACATTTGCTTATTAAAAACGGTATTTATCATGCTAAAATTACATTTTACTGCATGTTTTAAGTGTTTTAAAATATTAAATGATGTGCAATACTTTAATATTCCGTTTTTTAAGTGTTCACGTAAGTTTTGACATAAGTTATGAAATATAATTAAATTGCTTTTATTAAAGTTGTTATTTAATTTCTTATCATACTTTATTGATTAATTTTTTCACAAGATTTATTAGTTATAGCAACAAGGTCTAGTATAATTGGTAGATAATTGAGTTTTTTTTTTAAGGATATTGATAGATGTTTAATTAACCAACCGTGCATATGGATAAAATTGTTTTGCGAGACAACTTTGGTAATTTTTGTTTTGAAAGGAATTAATTTTTAACTATTTTTTGAGATATTTTTTTTATTAAAACAAAATAAAATATTTATTATTTATCTTTTTAATTTTATGAAATGTGCGTTAAATAGCTTTTAATTTAACTTGATGTAAGGATTGAATTGGAAAAAAATTTAATATTATTTTGAACTTTTAAAATGATAATAAAATGGAACAAATTTTCTTTGGAGTAATTGACAGTTAAAATGTAACTGGAGTAACAGTATCATGTATTCATAAGTGTAACAGAAAAAGAAAGAAAAGAAACTCGGGAAAATAGTAGTTAATAGTGGCTTGAATAATAATGGAATTTTCCATCTTATTTGAGCTGGTGGTTTTATTCCAGGTCTAATCATATGTATTATTTTCAGACAAAAATAGAATTACGTTTTTGTCTCTAACTTTATAAATATATACTTTTTAATTATGGAGAATCGGTACTGAAGATTTATAACAGTTGCACATCATGCTCAATTAGCTATTCTTCATTGGAATTTGATAAATGAATTATTTTACCATTTGAAGTTTGAATTGCTTAAATCAAGATTTTATATTTTAAATAAATGAAATTTGTCTAACAGATAATGTTTTGTCTAATGCGTAAACATCTCGTAAATAACGTTGTGATGTGTTAACATCAAATGACATGTTAGTTCATTAGAAGTATAAAGTAGGTCTAATCATTAATATTGTCCAATAATTATTACCAAGTAAATTAATGTTAATGGCATTTTGTAGTGTAGCAACAATCATTCATATTACAGGACAATTCATTTTATGGCTTTCAAGTCTTCAGTCTATTGTCTCGCAAAATGCAATATGTATCAATTTAAATATTAATAATTGGATGAAGTATTAATATTTCATCGATTTGAAAAGTATGGAAACTTGATAATTAAATTACAATTACTAAAATCACCCGTGTATAGGAATAAAAGACACAATTAAGTTCTTATACTATTATTATCTGGAAAGAAGTATTTTGACATTTAGTTTTTTTTTTCTTTCTCTGAATTGACACTTAGTTTGTATTACATCATTTATCATTTCTTATAAATGAGTATTTTTTTATCAATTTTTTTCTTCATATCATGGTATTCTTACCATTTGAATATAAACATCGAGAGAATTAGAAGATAATATATTTGAAATATAAGTATTTATTATTATTAATTAAAAACGATTTTAAAATAATAATGATTTCAAATCGGAGTGAATAGTTGATACAGGTTCATCTGTCTCCTGGGCAGTGATCAATCACATACCTCAGTTCCAAAGTTTATAGTAGTGCCCAAAAAAGTAAAGAAAAAAAATGACAATGAAAACATAATACATATAAGGGCTGGTTGGCTCATTTTGTTCACCTTCTTATGCTTAAACTCTAATTTGTGCTTGGTACAAAGCAAAGAATTCAAATTATGTAAACGCACAAGCATAAAAGCAATTATGAATTATGCCAAATGCATAAAAGCAAGTGATCAAGAATCACCTAAGCAATTATGCTTCAAAAGTTTAGACAAGATAAAATATAGACGCCTCAAAGAACATTGCTATAACCAATTAGATGTAAGTAACGTCTTTAATTGAAGGGTTCATAACGCTGCAGGCCCTTGCGTTACGTTACAGTTAATTTGACTGATACATCTCTGAAAGCAATTATAGCCCAAAATTTATGGTCGTTGACCACTCGGAGCTTGAAGCATAGAAAACATTGTTGGGTTTATCTGCTTTTCTACTACTACCCGTATGGTACATCTGAACGTAATTATAGCTCAAAATTTATGGTTGTTGACCATCGGGATTCCCAACCAAAGATAAATGGTTACTTCTAAACTTCTACCTGCTCATTTATGCTCTCTTTCAATAATGAAATATTGAAAATATTTTGAAAGGAAAGATAGAAATAAGAGAGAATAAGTAAATTTTTCGGTTAATGGAATTGAGATATAGAAAATAAGGGGGAAAAAGAAAAGTTAATGTATATTGTAAAAACATATTTGCCTTTATATTTATATAGTACAAGACAAAATGATAAATATACCGTTTTAATTATTTAATGGGTCCCGCCATTTTCTTTTACTTCTCTCACCCAAATCACTTCATTTTGAGGGAGATTTGTTTCTGTTGTAGGTTTTATCATTTTTTTTTTCTCACTTCTTTCATTTGAGAAGAATAAAAAGCTTGATAGACAACATATTTGAATACAAAGCTAGGAAGTTGTTATGAATTTTTCTACCGAAAAATATACTTAATCTTATTTGGATAATAATACCAAAAGTTCTTAAAATTAAATATAATAAATTTTGTTATATTTTAAATATTCCAATACAAATTATTCAATTAAAAGTACATAATACTATAGGAATAAAGTGTAGTGAAAAACACTAGTCTCCCAAAATGTGTTTAATCAAAGTTCAAATCCTGACCAAAAGAAGTATCACATTTAGTGTTCTATATCACTTTGAATATGATCGCATCTAAAGAAAGAAACATGTGGAGAGAAAAATGTAATTTAATTATATCAAATTTTTTAGTTAAATATATTATAAAATTTTAATCTTTTATAACTATCTTAATAAACAAATTAAAAAAAAAAAAAGTTTCCAGCATCAACAAGCTTATTGAAACTTTATTGTAGAGAGGTGTAACACTACTTTAAAAGTTATATTGTTAGCATCAATTTAAACTTCTGGGTCTTAAACATGTTATATTTTGATTTGTAAGATCACCTAGATTAATTTTATATAGTGTTTATCGGATTGGATCAATCTAACAAACTGGATAATTCGAATTGAATAAATTAAATTAATTCAATTTTTTTTATTCGGGTCCAACCTGAACCAAATCAATTAAAACTGATATCGATTAGTTTGAGTATCATATTTACTCATTTAAAATCTAAACCAAATCAATTAATTTATATATTATTATATTTTATTTTTATTTGGTTAACAATTAATATGTATGTATCATTTTAATTATTTTGAAGATGTTTTTATCTTAAAATATGTATAAAAAAAGCATTTCTTCTTCTCAAATAGTTAAAGAAATCAAGAGAAACTATATTGTAATATATTGAGCGTGTCATTTTCACATATATTTGAAATTCTTAAGTAAATTAAGAAAAGAAATCAAGATGAATCGTATTACAAATTTACCAATTTAGTTAATTTTTAACAATATATCAATTTAGTTAATGTTGGAAATTTTGTTTACTTTGGAGATTTTTTAATTTATTTTTTGAAAAATTCATTTATTTTTTTTACTTGAATCGAACCAATCCAATCAATATCGGATTGGTTTAGTTCGAGTTAAGCAAAAAAAAAAATATGAAATACAAATCAATCTGAACCAATTAAATTTAATTGGTTCTGATTGAATTTTCACTCAAAACTGAACAAACTTGACCCACGAACACTCCTAATCTTATAAATATTATTTTACCTCTTAGAAGAAAATAAGATTGATTGACCATTGTTATTAACTATACATTAACCTTTGTTGAAGGTGACATCATAATCAATGTCACACACTTGACTAATGCTAAGAAGATTATGTTTTATTCCATCAATAGTTAAGACATTATTAATAGAAGGGAAAAAATGTTTACAATGATTATCTATCCTAACTAACCTTTCTCGTTGGTTACCTCAAAAGGTAACCCATATCCACCATTATTTGGTCTAAGGCCTTGGAACATAGACTTTTTGTCTATTATGTGTTGTAAGTAGTTACTTTCTAAGTATCATGACAAGGTGCTTTTCTTGCAATCAAATAAATTTGCAACAAGGTTTAAAGGATTTAAGTACCATAATAGATTTGGCTCCTTTCTTGACCTTAGATTGTCCAATAGGATTTGAATGTCTTTAAGAAGTTATGTCAACTTTCTTTTTTACATAGCCAAGTTTATCTTTGCTATGAGGATCTCTTTTGTACTTGAGAATTTTATTCAAATTCTCAAATCCCATAATAAAATTTGAGAGATTCTTTCACAAGGTATGAACTTTTTTATAAAGTTTTATTACTTCATCAGGAGGTCTACCCTTAGGATTCTCTTTTGGCTTAGTCGTTTTAAACTTCTTTTTATAAGTTAAAATGTCTTATTTTTCTTTTTGTAAGAGTTCATTTTTTTAAGGTTTGAAATTTTCTTTTTCAAACATTAGTAACCTTTTTTAGAGCATTGAAGAGGTTAAAAGTAGCTTGTGGTAAGATTCTTGTAATTCAAAAAGGTTCTCAAAGTATACCTCTTCTTCCCCCTCTCTTTCTAACTACAACATCTACTATAAGATAGATCTAGATGTTTTCAAGTAGTCATTAGTCCCTTCTTATTTTTCTTGAATAAATATTAAATCTTATC